TCAACAAAGGTGGCAAAAACATATACTGAAGTAACAACAGTCTCTTCAACAAGTGGTGTTGGGAGAACTGGACAGAAAATGTGAAAAAACAAAACACACACAAAAAACTGGACCACTCTTTAAAACCATATACAAAAATAAACTCAAAATGAGTTAAAGACTTAAAAGTAAGGCCCAACCATAAAACCCCCAGAAGAAAACATAGAAAGTAAACTATCTGACATCAGTCTAAGTAGTATCTTTTTGGACACATTCCCTTGGACAAAGGAAACAAAAGCAAAAATGAACAAATGAGACTACATCAAACTAAAATGATTCTGCACAGTGAAAAAAACTTTCAATGAAACAAAAAGGCAACCTACTGACTAGGACAATATATTCGCAAGTGATAGATCCAATAAGGGGTTGATATCCAAATTATTTTAAAAAGTCATACAACTCAGTAACAAAAAAATAAATAAACAATCCAATCAAAAAATGAGAAGACATGAAGAGACATTTCCCCAAAGAAGACATACAGATGGCCAATGGACATGTAAGATGCTCAACATTACTAATCATCAGGGAAATGCAAATCAAAACCACAATGAGATGCCACCTCACACCAGTCAGAATGGATATTATAAAAAAGTCCACAAATAACAGGTATTGGTGAGAATGTGGAGAAAAGTAAAACCTTGTGCACAGTTGGCAGAACTGAAAATTGGTGTAGCCCTATACGAAAAACAGAACGGAGATTCCTCCAAAAACTAAAAACAGATATAGCATAACATCCCAGCAATCCCATGTCTGGGTATTTATCTAAAGAAAAGAACACTAATTCAAAAACAAATAGGCATTCTTATGTTCATTGCAGCATTATTTATAACAGCCAAGATATGGCAGCAACTTAGGTGTCCATCAATAGATGAATGGATAAATGTACACACACACACACACTGGATTACGCAGCAATAAAAGGAATGAAACCTTGCCATTTGGGACAACATGGGTAGATCTAAAGAGTATTATGCTAAGTGAAATAAGTTAAGCAGAAAAAGACAAATACCATATGGGTTCACTTATATCTGAAATCTGAAAAATTAACTTGTCTTATAAATCAAAACTTGTATAAATGGAAAAGTAATTTATTTCTAGTTGGAAAAACTGACTATTACCAAGATGTTAATCCCCACCCCCAACAATTTTTTATTTATTTTTTTATCCTCACCCGAGGATATTTTTCCATTTTTTGTACAGATAGAATGGGAGAGAGAGAGAGGAAGGAGAGAGAGAGAGAAACATCGACATGAAGGGACACATCGAGTAGCTGCCACCCGCACGACCAACCAGGGCCGGGGACAAACTGCAACCAAAGTACGTACCCTTAGCGGAAACCGAACCCGGGTCTCTCTGGACCGCAGGCCGACGCTCTAACCGCTGAGCCAAACTGGCCAGGGCCCCACCTCCAACATTTTATAGGATTAATGCAATCCCAATAACATTCCTGCATAATTATTTTGAAATCTAACAAAAGGATTCCATAGGTTGCCTAGAAATAGTAGTAATATGACATACAAGTACCAAAATCACACCAAAGTTTTCAAGGAGTTTTTGAACCTCTAGACTGAATGAAATATAGTACCTGTGCTCCCATGGGAACACTAGAGCAGTTTCCCTGGCTGAAGGTACTTACTTTCATGCAATTTTCACTACATTCTTGTTTTTAATAACATTTTATTTTTCAGGTACAGCTGACATACAATATTATAGTTTCAGGTGTACAACACAGTGATTAGATATTTATATAACTTACAAAGTGGTCATCCTAATAAATCTAGTACCTATTTGATACCATAAAGTTATTACATTACTGACTATATTCCCCATGCTATACTTTAGCATCCCCATGACTATTTTGTAACTACCAATTTGTACTCCTTTATCCCTCCTCCTTTTGTATCCATCCCTCCAGCGCCCCTCCAATCTGGCAACCATCAAAATGTCCTCTGTATCTGTGTTTATCTCTATTTTGTTCATTTTTTAGATTATACATATAAGTGAAGTCATATGGCATTTGTCTTACAATGTCTGACTTCACTCAGAAGAATACCCTCCAGGTCCATCCAACTTGTTGCAAATGGCAAGATTTCATTCTTTTTGAAGGCTGAGGCATATTGCATTGTATATATGCACCACTTCTTTATCCAATCATCCACTGATGGACACTTTGGTTGCTAACATACATAGGCTATTGTAAATAATGCTGCAATGAACATAAGGATGTATATGTCTTTTAGAATTTGTGTTTTAGGTTTCTTCAGATAAATACTCAGAAGTATAATTGTTGGGTCTTCTCTGTCTCTTATAGCCTTTGTTTTAAAGTCTATTATGTCTGGTATAAGTACTGTTACCCCAGATTTTTTGTTTCCATTTTCACAAAATGTCTCTTTCCATCCCTTTATTTTCAGTCTGTGGCTGTCTTTTGACTGAATATATTTACAGGCAGTATATGTAAGGGTCTTGTTTTCTTTTTAAACTTATCTTTACTATTGAATGTATTACAGATGTCCCCCATTTTTGGCCCCATTGACTCCTTCCTCCCTGCTTCCACCCATCTCTTGCCTTCCCCACACTATTGTCGTGTCCATTGGTTATGCATATATAACATAAAAATTCTTTGGTTTATCTTTTCCCACCCCACCCCACCCCTTCCCTTTGAGGTTCGTCACTCTAACAACCAATTTGTACTTCTTAATGCATTCACCTTTTTCATCCATCCCTCAAAGCCCCCTCCAGTCTGGCAACCAAAAAAAAATTATTTGTATCTATGCCTCTGTTTCTGTTCTGCTTGTTTATTTGGTTTGTAGATTCAATTGTTGATAGATATGTATTTATTGCCATTTTATTGGTCATATTTCCTTTCTCTTCCTCTTCCTCTTCTTCTTCTTCAAGAAGACCCTTCAATATTACATATAATACTAGTTTGGTGGTGATGAACTCCTTTAGCTTTTTCTTGTCTGGGAAACTCTGTATGTCCATCGATTCTAAATGATACCTTTTCAGGATAGAGTAATCTTGGTTGTAATCCTTGCTTTTCATCACTGTCAATATTTTGTGCCACTTCCTTCTGGCCTGCAAAGTTTCTTTTGAGAAATCAGCCAACATTCTTATGGGAGCTCCCTTGTAGGTAACTAAATGCTTTTAAGGTAACTCTTGCTGCTTTTAAGATTCTCTCTTTGTCTTGAATTTTTTGCATTTTGATGATGATGATGATGTGTCTTGGTGAGGGCCTCTTGGGGTTCATCTTATTTGGGACTTGTGCTTCCTGGACTTGTATATCTGTTTCCTTCACCAAGTTAGAGAAGTTTTCTGTCATTATGTTTTCAATTTCTTGTTCTTTCTCTTCTCCTTTTGGCAACCCCATGATGCAAATGTTGTTACATCTGAAGTTGTTCTAGAAGCTCCTTACACTATCCTCACTTTTTAAAATTCTTTTTCTTGCCCTGGCCGGTTTGGTTCAGCGGTTAGAGCGTCGGCCTGCGGTCTGGAGAGACCCGGGTTCGGTTCCCGCTAAGGGCACGTACTTTGGTTGCAGTTTGTCCCCGGCCCTGGTTGGTCGTGTGGGTGGCAGCCACTCGATGTGTCCCTTCACGTCGATGTTTCTCTCTCTCTCTCTCCCTTCCTCTCTCTCCCTCCCACTCTATCTGTACAAAAAATGGAAAAATATCCTCGGGTGAGGATAAAAAAAATTAAGAAAAAAAAAAATATATATAAAATTCTTTTTCTTTTTGTTGTTTTTTTTTTTCTTTACTGATTTTAGAGTAAGAGGAAGGGAGAGGAAGAGATAGAAACATCGATGAGAGAGAACAATGACTGGCTACCTTCTGTATGCCCCCTGCCCCACGGGGAATTTGGCCCACAACCTGGGCATGTGCCCTGACTGGGAATCAAACTGGTAACCTCTTGGTGCATGAGTCGATGCTCAACCACTGAGCCACACTGGCTGGGCTCTTTTTGCTGTTCTGATTGGGTGTTTTTTGCTTCCTTATATTCCAAATCAATGGTTTGCTTCTTGGCTTCGCCTGTTCTACTATTGATTCCCTGTAAATTATCATTATAATTATTATTATTATTTGCATTTATCTTGAGATAGAGCAGGAGGGAGAGAGGGAGTCAGAGAGAAAGAGAGAGAAACATCAACATGAAAGGGACACATCACGTGGCTGCCTCCTACACGACCCAACCAGGGCCGGTACAAACTGCAACTGCGGTTCCTGCCCTTAGCGGGAACCAAACCCAGGTCTCTCTGGACCGCAGGCCAACGCTCTAACCGCTGAGACAAACTGGCCAGGGCTGTAAATTATTCTTTATTTCAGTTAGTGTATCCTTCATTTCTGACTGGTCCTTCTTTATGTTGTTGATGTTCTCACTATGTTCCTTGAAGTTCTCATTCACTTCCTTTAAGTTCTCACTAAGTTCCTTGAGCATCCTTATAAGCAGTGTTTTGAACTGTGCATCTGATTGATTGCTTATCTCCATTTCGTTTCATTCTCTTTCCTGGAGTTTTGTTTCATTTTTTTTCCCTCTCATTTGAGACATGTTTCTTTGTCTCCTCATTCTGGCTGCTTCCCTGTGTTTGTTTCTATGTATTAGGCAGAACTGCTATGTCTCCTAGGCTTCATAGGGTGGCCTATTGTAATAGGTGTCCTGTAGGGTCCAGTGGCATCACCTCTAAGGGTCTTGTTTTCCTATCCATTTGGCCACCCTACCTATGCCTTTTGATAGGAGCATTTAATCAATTTACATTTAAAGTAATTGCTGATAGGTAATTATTGCCATTTTATTATTCACATTTTAAATCTTTTTTTCTTCTAGAAGTCCCTTTAATATTTTTTGTACTACTAGTTTGATGGTGATGAACTCCTTTAGCTTATCTTGCCTGTGAAGCTCATTATCTGTGCTTCAATTCTATTTTTTTTTTTTAATGAATGAGGCAATTTATTAACCTAGCATTTGTTCTAATGCTTCTTGTTGGCAACTGCCACCTGTCCCGCAATTCTGTCCAGATCTCTCTGTCCCTGAGGCGTCAGTTTGCGGCCCCCATCCTGGTCCTTTCCCACCATTTTCAGCCCCTCCAGGGCTTGCAGGACCCAGTGGGCCACACGCTTGGAGCCTCTGCTAAAGTGGCTGGGCATGGCACCATTTCTCTGCCGTCCTCCATAGATGTTGGTCATGGAGTCAATCCCAGCGCCGCCAAGGAGGTGCAGGTGCTGTGCTGTGGAAGCAACTCGTGTGTAGAACCAATTCTCATCGTAGGGAGACAGCTCTTTATGCTTGGCCAGCTTGACAGTGTCCACCCATTCAGGGACTTTCAGCTTCAGGGACTTATTCAGGGACTTTCAGCTTCCCAGACTTTTTGAGGAAGGTGGCCAGAGCTCTGACTAACTCCTGCTGGTTCACGGCTTTTGAGAGACTCCGGGCATCAGGCCCAAACTCGGTGACCCAGCTGAGCGAAGCCCGCATGTCTGGGCCTGTGGCTCGCATGTGGCTGAGGCTTCAGGGGGCAGGGCGCTACTGCGTGGACACCCCAGGGCTTGGAGGCATGCGCTTGGGGCCAGGCAACCGGGTCTCAAGGCTCAGCACCCAGCGTGAATCAGAGCGTTGGTCTTTGTGCTTCAATTCTAAATGATAGCTTTGCTGAGGAGAGTAACCTTGGTTATAGGTCTTGACTTTTCATCACTTTGAGTATTTCATGCCAATCCCTTCTGGCCTGCACAGTTTCTGATAAGAAATCAACTGACAATCTTATTGGGAGTTTCCTGGTAGGTAACTAACTGCTTTTCTCTTGCTGCTTTTAAGACTTGCTCTTTGTCTTTAATCTTTGGCATTTTAATTATGTGTCTTGGTGTGGGCCTCTCTGGGTTCACCTTGAGTGGGATTCTGTATTTCCTGGCTTATATATCTACTGACTTCATCAGGTTAAGGAAGTTTTCTGTCATTCATTATTTCTTCAAATAGGTTTTCAATCCTTTGGTCTCTCTCTTCTCTTTCTGTTCTCTATGATGCAAATGTTGTTATGCTTGATGTTGTCCCAGGAGTCTTTTAAACTAGCCTCATTTTTTTAAATTCTTGTTTCTTTTTACTGTTCTGATTGGGTGTTTTCTGCTACCATGTCTTTCAAATTGCTGATTCAATTCACAGCTTCATGTAATCTACTGTTGATTCCCTCTAATGTAGTCTTCATTTTAGTTACTGTATTCTTCTTTTCTGCTTAGTTCTTTTTCATGTTTTCTATTTCCATTTTTATGTTTCCTATCTCTTTATTGAAGTTCTCACTGAGATCACTGAGCATCCTTATAACCAGGGCTTTGAACTCTGCATCTGGTAAACTGTCTCCATTTTGTTTAGTTCTTTTTCTGGACTTCTGTTCTGTTCTTTCATTTGGAATGTTTCTGTCCCCTCAATTTGGCTGCCTCCCTGTGTTTGTTTCTATTATTAGGCAGAGCTTATACATCTTCCAGTCTTGTTACAATGGCCTTATGTAGTAGCTGTCCATTTTTATGTAAGGGCCCAGTGGTGCAGACTTCCTGATCACCTGAGCTGAGTGCTTCAGGTATGTCCCTTGTGTGGACTATATGTGTCCTTTTGTTGTTAAGCCTTGACTGCTGTTCATATGTCAATGAGAGGATTGACCCTCAGGCTGATTGGCTATGAGGACAGGCAATGACTATGGTGAAGGTGTGCTGTGCAGGGGCTGACCCTACAGAGCAGGGGCTCTGGTACCTGCCAAGTCTGCCCTTTGGTTGTATCATTTGTGGAGGTGGTTGGGTGGTGCTCTTGTATGATATGAAGCTGACCACCATATATGTTGGTTCTGAAGCCTCTTGACTCTGGTGCAGGCCAAGATCAACTGCTGCCTGGGCTACTTGGTATGAGCTACAAAGTGATTTGCAGTTCATTGCCACTTGTGCCTGCAAGGGGCTAAGCTGCAAACTGAGGCTGACTATCACTAGTGCAGGACTTGGGGCTGCTTAGCAAGAGGTCTGGAGCACGCTGAGGCCAGATGCTAGATTGGGGTTTGTAAACCTTTGAGAGATTTTAGCAAAGTCCACAACATGAGCCTATACAGGCTGTTTTGTATGATAAAGCTAACTGAAGTGGTTTGGGTGGGCCAGCAAGCTAGATGGGGCAGGGTCTCAGAGAATCACTAGGATGGGGCAAATAGTGTTAGTTAGGATGATGGATACGTAGATTTGTTGCCTGCCTGAGCATGCAGGCTGGGTTGGGGGAAGACTTAACAAAGGAAAAATAGCTTCTGACAGCACTTCTGTCTGGGAGAAAAGTGTTCCTCCAGCCATAACCCTGAAGCCAATCAATTCAGTTCTTCCTAAAAGTCCCTGGTGCTTTTCCTGGTGCCTTCCCAGCACTGGAGCCAAGAGGAATTGAGTCAAGCATGGTTCTTTTAAGAAGAATGCCTGGGACTCCAGCAGCCATAATCTCTACTGGTTTTCACAGACAGAAGTTATGGGGACTTCTCTTCCAAGAACAGGAACCCCTTGTTCTTCAGGGGAGACCTTGACAACTGAGATATCCTTCCCAATCTGTATCTGCCACAAGTGGGTATGGTTATGGGACCAGTTCATTCCATTTCTGCCCCTCCCACCAGATGACATGGCTTCTTCTGTATACCCTTAGTTATAGGACTTCTGTCTAGCTAAACTATAGGCAGTTCTCAATGATGGTTGTTCTGTAATTTAGTTGTAATTTTCATATGGTCATGGGAAGTAATGGTGTTTTCCTATTCTGCCATATTGACTGGAAGCCCCTCAAAAGTTGATCCTTTAAAAAGTATAACAAAACTGGCCAAAACTTTAGCTAAACAAATAAGCTGCAGGAGTTCCAAAGCAACCCACAGTCTCTTCCAGGTGCTGCCGGGCAGATTTTGCTATCCTTCACTGCATTCTTTTTTTTTTTTTTATCCTCACCCGAGGACATTGCTCCATTTTTTGTTCAGGTAGAGTGGGAGAGAGAGGAACAGAGAGAGAGAGAAACATCGACATGAAAGGAACACATCGAGTGGCTGCCACCTGCACGACCGACCAGGGCCGGGGACAAACTGCAACCGAGGCACACGCCCTTAGCAGGAACCGAACCCGGGTCTCTCTGGACCGCAGGCCGACGCTCTAATCGCTGAGCCAAACTGGCCAGGGCCTTCACTGCATTCTTAAAAGGTCCTAGATCCACAAATACTTCAATAACACAAATTTAAAAATACAAGAGAACTGCCTCTCTAAAAAAAGTATTTTTAAATAAGCATATGAGGGAAGACTTATACATTAAAACTTAAAAATATAAGTTTTATATATTGATATAAAAACAAACAGATCTGTGGAATCAGACACTTGAATATAATAATAAAGGGCATCAAAAATCTGTAAGGAAAGCCCTGGCCGGTTTGGCTCAGCGGTTAGAGCGTCAGACTGCGGTCCAGAGAGACCCAGGTTCGGTTCCTGCTAGGGGCAGGTACCTCGGTTGCAGTTTGTCCCCGGCACTGGGTGGTCATGTGGGTGGCAGCCACTCGATGTGTACCTTTCACATCGATGTTTCTCTCTCTCTCTCTTCCTCTCTCTCCCTCCCACTCTACCTGAACAAAAAATGGAAAAATGTTTGGGTGAGGATTAAAAAAAAAATCTGTAAGGAAGGATGTTTTATTTAATTATTTTCAGAAAAATGACAATTTGGAAAAAAGAGTTAAGGCTAAAGTAAAATCTTTATTGAGCAAAGACTGAAAATCAAAAAGTAAAATAATAAAGAATAGAACACACTACAGAAAAATATTTACTGATTTTATATAATGGCAGAAAAGTTCCCATTCAAAATAGCAACCAAAAATATATTTCTACAAGTAAATCAAAGAAGAAATATAATACCCACATAAAGAAAATCTGCCCTGGCCAGTTTGGGTCAGTGGTTAGAGCACCAGCCCACAGACCAAAGAGTTATGGGTTCAATTCCCCAGTCAAGAGCACGTACCCGGGTTGCAGGTTCTATCCTCGGCCCCAGATGGTGCATGTCTGAGAGGCAACCACTTGATGTATCTCTCTCACATCATGTTTCTCCCTCTTCACTCTCCATTCTCCACCCCTCCCTCTCTCCTTCCTTTCTACTCTCTCTAAAAAATCAATGGAAAAAATATCCCTGGGTGAGGATTAACAACAACAACAACAAAATAGAAAATAATCTTACTTTTTCTTAGAGGAAAAAAAAAATCTCTCAGCATATAAGCAATGGAAGTCAAAATAAGACCTGACTAGATGAAAAAGTTTCAATATGTCCAAAAAAAGCAAACCAAATCAAACAATAGATAAACTTGGGGAGATAGTCATGTTAAATGTCAATTAAGAGTTTAACATCTTTAATATACAAAAAATCCATACACATGGAGAGACCACCAGAATGTATTATGAGGTGAATAAGAAAAATGCAAAATGTACATATAGTATGCAATCTTTTCTGTAAAGGAGTAGTTAAGACCTATTTTCATATTTGTTTTTATTTGCAAATAAACAGTGGGGAAAAACATACAAGAAAACTAAAACTGAGAAAACAGCAATACGAGTAGATAAGAAGTGAGAGAAAACAAACTTTCAGGATAAATGAGTGAGACTGGTGAAAATATACTGTTATATTGTTCTGATGTTTGACCCATGTAAATAAATTTTCAGAAAATTAATAAAAACTTCATCAAATTAATAAGAAAAACCACCCATGTTTCTTTTGGGTACTTTAGTGGGCTGAATATTGGCCACCCAAAGATAACACGTCCCAATACATAGAACCTGTGAATGTTACCCTACATCAGCAATTTTCAGCTGGTGTGCCACAAGAGCACACTAGGGTGCAGCAAGAATTTTTAAAACTTGCAATATCTGACTATTTAGTTACAGGACTGATCTTTTTCCTTAGATTGTCAAATTAAAAAATTATAACAGTCAACACAACAGCTGTCCAGTGTGAATGAATCAAAATTATACCTATTTTTCTTGTCAGATCAGCAAAAATATATATTTTTGGTGTGTAGAATTTTATTAATTAGTTTAGTAATTAGTGCCATGAGATGAAAAATTGCTGGTTTATATGCTAAAATTTTTATAGATGTGATTAAAATAAGGTTCTTGAAAGGAGGAAATTATCCTGGATTACCTGGGTGGGCCCTAAATTACATCACAAGTGTCTTTATAAGAGACAGACAGAGGGAGACTAGATACACAAAGAAGAGCAGGATGCAGTGTGACCACAGAGGCAGAGAGACTGGGATGAGTGGCCACAAATCAAGGAATGCCACAGGAGGCATGGAAAGGCAAGGACGGCACTGTTCCCTAGAGCCTCCGGAAGAAGCAGAGCTGCTGACATCTTGAATTCATGTGATATTGACTGTGGACTTTTGGCTTCCAAAACTGAGAGACTATCTGATATTTTATGCCACCTAGTTTGTAGTAATTTCTTACAGTAGACATAGGAAA